AATTTCTCTTCAAGATAATTCCAAAGATCAGTTAATTCAAAAAGGAATATTTAGGTGCTTTTGGGTACAATTTAACAGACTACTTGGGCAACAAAAGATTACAATGCTTAATGAATAAAATACGATAATTGAATAGAACTGGCCGATACTTGATGAAAATCCATATTAAAAAACATAAAAAAGTTAATGCTTTCCAAGTTAGTGAAAGTTTCTAATAAAGATGGTAGATCAAAACTATCGTTATATTATGTGGTATTGATGGATATTTTACTGTAGATTCAATACACACACAGTTTCGAAGTGACTAAAATCTTAAAAGCTGAAAAACACATATTTTTTCAATAAAAATACTTCTTACTTCTTTTATGAACAAAAAAAAACAATATGGTTCAAAAATAAAACTCAAAGATATATTAATTGATGCTTTTGAATTTAGTTTTTATCTTAACTTGAATTATAATTGAAATATTTGTTATTGCTTCACATTGTTCATTGTGTTAAAATTAACTGCTGCTCATTCTCATTTGAATTGATTTAATTTTTGGATTGAGGCTATTTGTGATGGACATGAAAACGAATTGAGAATTTTTCTGTGGCTGCAAGATTTACAGAATTCTAATATAGGTTGATGTTTGTAAAAAAATTGTCAGTTGAAACGTTTTTCAAGTTCAATTATGGTCCAGTTCAAATTGTTACAAATTGCTTTTAACTGTTTCATTTACTGTCAGATTAGTCATCAAGAAAAATATTGAAATGCAATAATAATGTTATATTTTATGAACAGGGGATAGATTGGATCCCAATAAATGTCCATGGTGTCCGCCATACGTGGCCGATCTTGAAGGGAAGTTTATAAACTTTTTTTTAATAAATTGTGCATAGAAATGAAAATTGATTACCAGAGTTAATATCGATCCTATCGGCCATTTGTGGTCATTTCAATATTAATCTCTTTTCTATATCTTTATATCCATAAGAAAACAGTTCCACTAGTGTTTAGCAAATAACTTCACTCACGGTTTCAAATTAAACTGACATAATTTGCAATTAGGCAGTGACTTCTATATCATCTGAGCAAATCAAATGTACAGGTTTAGATTGTAATTGTTGAATTTTCAATAACTCATACAATTTTTCTATTTTATTCAAGTCTCTACATTTCAAATCTGTTCATTTTCCAGAACAATGGAAATAACTGCATATTGAACAAAATCAGTCATATTTATCATGCCAATACTTTAAATTCTGATTCATCTAGCTCAACTCCTTTCACAGTTTTAGCCAGTATGAGTTTTATAGAGTCCACGTAAAGGTGCTGTGATTACATCAATTATTCATAATTTCAATAGATTCATTTACAATTAATTAATGAAGTTTATCACTCCTGAAAATATAAACCTTTCAATTAAGAGAAAAAAGTAATTATACAAGGAGCAAAAATTTGGCAATTACTCGCGAGAATGAAGTTTGATGACGCAAAATGTAGGCTTGCATCATAAATCATTTGAGTGAGCAATGAAAATGTCTGATGAGTAGGATACTATTTTTTTTCTATGACTCGTATCAGAAATTTGTGAAGGATAATCTAAGTGTTGGTTTCCGGGTTCTACTGTGGTCTTTGGTTACAATCTCCAAACGTTTCAACTGCAACTGCGGCAAGCATCTTCAGTGGCGTGGTCGAAGTACTCTTCTTGGACGTATTTGTCAGTTGATTCCATAGATTCAGTTGATTCCATAGTTTCAGTTGATACAGATAGAAGAGTACTTCAACCACGCCACTGAAGATGACTGACGTAGTTACAGATGAAACGTTTGGAGATTGTAACTAAAAAAGACCACTGCCAAACCCGGAAACCAACCAAAACATTGACGCCAGCTGTGAAAGCCTACATTCCAATGTCATTAAATTTCATAATCAAAAGCAATTTATTGAAAAATACTTTCTATTATTGTTATTCTAGTCAATTTTGAATAATTTGAAAACTGGATAGTTGAAAATTTGAAAAAAAAAAACTGGCGTTCAGTAGCATTTAAACCTAGAACTGTGTTCTACCAACTACTCTTGGAAGGTGTGTATACAAATTATTATGACAAAAATTGCCCTCAATCACTCATTCTTTTTTTTGAGTTCACGTTTTTATCCATGTTTTTCTTTGGAAACTATATATTTTAAAACGTACTGTCAGTTCAATGATGAGGGAACATATTTTGAAGTGGATAATTTATCAATTGCAAATTGATAATTGAAAACAGTCGCAAAGTTGACACTTTGAGTTAAATAAAAACAACTTGAAACATCATGTTTGAAATTCAGTAATAGTGGGATTGCATTAAATATTTTCAGTACTCGTGGGTTCTGCTATGATATTAAGAACAGTTTGGATTTTCATAAAAAATAATAATTGCTGAAAATGTTTCAATTTCATTTTTTAAACGTGAATTTTGCACTGCAATTTCGTACTTTTTTTTTCAAGATTCTTTTCGTCAATGTTTGGTCATAGACGTATTTCTGACTTCTGCATTATAGTAACTAGGCTTGAAGTATTTGCCACTTTTTCACCATAGCTGATTTAACATTTTCTAATTTTTGAGTTTGGATTTGGCACTAACACACCAATCACAATGTAGCTGGCATAGTTATCTTTCGCCATGAAGAAATATTATCTTTCTAGTGTAAATTTCTATTAAACTGAGCTAAATAATTTAGCCTTTCCTTAATATTCATTATTTCCAGTCTAACTAAATTTCAGAACCCTATAATAAATAATCTCCTAAACTCGTAATAATTATATTGGTGATTTCCTGATTTAAATTTTTACTATAACAGGTCATGAAACATAAAATATTTAACCAATAAATATTTTGTATGAACACGGTGTTCAGCCTGGTAAAAAGAGGAAGTATTCATTTATTTGTAATATGCCATTATTATATTTGTTGAAAGTATCTACACAACGTACCTACACATTGGGTTCTGGTAAATACATGCCGGAAAACAATTACTTACCTGGCTAATACCACGATGGACGTTGAATTATATCCGAAAAACATTTAAGAAAGATATCTCACGCAGGTTAGTCATATAGATGTTTCTCGTTTATCCAGCAGCAGTACCATGCTGAAGTCAATTGAGCATATCACTTCCAGACTGATTTAAGAGATATTACCTTTCACCAGCGCAGGAAAGATTCGACACAAAGCAGTGTGCCCGAGTCTCAATTGACTTCAACGCGGCTCGATTGCATGTATGAAACCTTCGTCTAAGAGAAAGATTGTTAAGTAGTAACAGCTCCCTCTCATGACCAAAGCCCCAAGTGGGGAAGAAACATCCTATGTACGAATACTCTAACAGAAATCAAGATAAGTCTGAAGATTGTTTTCAAGATAATCAAATCTTTGAATAGATTGTTCCATTCTGGTTGTATCTAGGTATGTTGGTAGACATGAATGTTTCGAGATTGCATTTCGAAGTATTAATTTTCTTATAGGAATGTATCTTGATACAGTCTTTAGACATATTTTGAAAAATAAAGTGAGTGAATCAGTTGTAAGATAAGCCCTATTGTAAACATCTGATTTAGTTATTATCTGTTTATTGTCCCTCATCTCCAGTTGACTTGATATTCTAAAGTATAAGTTATCAACTTTGAATAACAATCAGAAAAATTGTCTAAGTACTGACAACATCAAACCACTTGATACAGTCACAGAATAAAAAAATAGGATATCAAATTACATTCAAAGTCAAAATGGATTCAAGATCATTAAATCTTTGGATGTATTGTTTCATTCTGGTTCTTCGGGAAGGCAATGAGTAAAAGTTTTTCGTCATTTTTGTACTATTCATTAGGAATTACTATAGAAAGCATATACATTTCATGAAATGTTGATCGGTTTTCTACGTTTCTTGAAGGGTGGAGATCAATTTTCTGCGACGTCAAGATAATTAATTCACTTTCTAGAAGTTTCACCATTCCAGGTTTCAAATAGATTTAAGTAATATTTGATAGTTTGAGTAAGTCATGATGTTGTAATGCTTGAAGAGGACTTCTTTTGATTCGCAGCCTTTCAATATAATGTGAATGTTTAAAGAATATGTAAACCATCTAGATGATCATTAGGTACTCGAGTTTGAGAGATGAAGATATCTTTTGAAGTCTGGGTTCCAAAACACATTGAACTGTTGAATGAAACTGGCCGATACTAGATGAAAAGTCATATCAGAACTAATACAGATGAACATCTCACAATAAGCTGTGAGTTTGTTTTTTTAACAATTGAAATGTGTTCAGTAGAAGCAAAATATCTGGGCCAATGGAGTTAATGTTTTGCATCCGAGAAATCTACTACTACCAGTAGTTCATTATTGTCACATGACACATCATTTACCAGAATCTAAGCCTCAGATTTTTCTTGGCAAAGCACTTGCAACAATAAATAAGGTACAGTCACTAAATTAGTTGACAAAAAATATGAAGAATATTCAATAATAATAATAATAATAGAATTTATTCATCAATCAAAGGTTATACAAGGCATTATACATACACATACATAACACTTATCAGACTAGTCAAGAAAGAAAAGAAGGTAATCTACAAATAAGTTGTTAAATACTTTTTCAAGAAGAAGGTTTTTCAATTTATTTTTGTTTTTTGTTTCCAAACATTCATCAGTTTTTCATACAAAGTATTTCATAATGAAAAAATGTTTATTATATTAAAGTGAAATTTCCACTGAACAGATTTTGAAACCGCATTACTGAATAGTGAAACACATGTCACAGTTTTGTAAAATGCTTCGTAAAAATCTCACGAAAAAGCTTCACTTGAAAACATTTTCATCAAGAATCGGTCCAGCCATCACATATGTTATTATATTCAATTTCATGAAATCAGTCATCAGTTTTGGTACTGGTTAATAAACTGACGGGTACAAAAATTGTTTGAAGCAAGATGCAATTGTTAAATCACCTTTATAAGTTGATATTTATTCTTCAGGTGACGAAATGGAGGAAAGTATGATGAGTACAGGGGAAACAAATTTTCTCGAAACGGCTCAGGGAAGTCAAAACCAAGGAGGTGAACTGAGCCATTTGATTGTATGGCAAGTGTCCACTAGCTAAGCCTGGCATAATTACTTCATTAAATTCACTATGCATATTCGTGCAAAGGGTATACAGTGACTTAATATGCAAATTGAAACACCAGGTTGACTCTAAGGAATGTATGACAGTTTTCTTAGTAGATCAGTATTTTGACGAGTACCAAACAAAGTCAGACTTTCAAAATTGGTTCCTCAAACATTTTAGATTTTAGTGTATCTATGCAATTCATAGTATTTTTATTGGAAATTTATATACAGGATTTTGATGTTACAGTTTGCATTTTATTAATAAATTTTTTGAAGAACCCTTTGCCATAATGTTTGATATTCTTAAAATCATTAATATGTTTTATGAGGCTTGATTCTAGAAAGTAAAACCAAAAAAAGTAAAAACAAAAACATTTCCGTACTATATTGAGATAGATTTTACTCTATAAATATGTTTTGTTAGGTAATTGATTATGTATAGTTGTATTTTTTTTCTGTTGATTATATGTATAATGTAAA